AGCTGAACCAAACTACTTCAGCATTTTCATGCCATAAGGAAGATGCTGATCTACATGAGCCTCATCTTTGCAGCAATTGTGCTACCTTTTGTGTCAGCTTGTAGCTTATACAAAATCAGTTTGATCATACCAGTTTGGTAAAAAAAGGCCTGTAAGAGATCTACACAACCTTGTCATCAATATTTTTGGCAACTCTATGATAGCACTTGTGAAATATTTTGGAGCACTTTCTTGCATCACCAGGTCATACCCAAGCAGGATAACATATTTACATGCTCAGTGTTAATCTATATGGCAGTGACGTACAGGATTTAGAGAATGGATTCCTTCTTTTGCCCAGCAATTTTCCTGATTTGCTCCAATTATATTAACATTAGTTCTTGCCCTTATGGCCACAGAAACTGGGAAATCAACCACTCAGCCTTGAGCTGGAAAAAGACCATTCTGGTTCTTGCTGCAGACTCTGCGCCCTGTTTCCATTCCCCTACAGCACATAAGGGTCACTTGCATGTATTAATCCTTCACATCTGACTAATACCTGAATGGGAAGGTTGCTAGCAACATCCTTTCCAAAATCACTTTGACCTGTGTATTATATTACGCCATGAATGACTTGCATAAGGAAGTAATCAAAATGTGTATAGTTCTAGCTAGTGCTAATTGCCTTTTCATCTGTTTCTGGCTCTTTTTATTGTGTCCAATAAATGTTGATTATGCGGGGATTTAAATCTGTATTTCAACATAGTTTCATTCATGTGATGTGAATGACACGACTCACTAGCACTTCAAGGATGTCAAAAGCAGATAGGGAAAATCTGAAGTGCCTGATCTTAGCAAGAATGCCTAAAAGGTCAGGTGGAGGACATTGTTTCAGGAGGTCTCTGGCTCATAGAAACATGAAAACACAGCATGTGTGTATTGTATGTGAAAGTTCTTCTTGGGTAGTGTACATAAATACGCATACAGGATAAAGTTTTCAAATGCATAATTTTTTATTGCTTCTGATCTTAAGTGAGCAACATGGCATGTTGTAAAGGAGTCCAGTTTCTGGAAATGAAGATCCCTTAAAGTTGCCTCAAGAGAATCCGGGATCACTGCATCTGGAAGTTCTTGATCACAGCATCGTGAGAGGTTAGTGAAGAAATGCAGTCAAACTGGCTTACATGTTTGTTTGAAACCTATTTTAAATAAACTCTGTATTTTCAGGAAAATACAGGCTGAACTCGAACTATTCTGAGCACAGACTGAAGTTGATTTTAAAGCAACAGTTGTTATCATATGTTTTGCACCAATTCATAGAATTCTAAGGCCAGGAGAGGCCACCCATAACTGCAGAAGTTCATACTGAGAGCAGTTTCTTTGTAAAGTGTCAGTTCAGCAGAGACAGAAAATTTATTGGAAACATTTCTGTTTTGACTGATCAACTTTCTCTGAAGATCAGGCAGGACCTAAGAGACAAATGCTCACCAGGCAGATTCCTGCCTGAAGTCTGCCCAGTTTGCCAGCACGATCCGTCACTCCAGGATTTCCGTGTCCCCCACTGCAGGTCCTCCCCCATCCTGTGCTCCTAAGGCCTTCCTGGGCAAGGGGCTTCTAGGAATTCGCCATGTTTTGAGAGGAAACCTTCTAGCTTTTCCTGATGCTGCAGGATTGCTCAGAAGTATGGGCAGCTCGCCCTGTTTGGAACAAACTGGTGTGTTTTACATTGTTTTTTAATGTCAGAATTTTCCACGAAACAGAAATCGTAAGTTATAGCCAGCTTCAGTCCAGGCTGCCTGACTGTTCTCCAGAGGATTGGCCATTACAAACTTGTATTTTAACTCTGAAATACTTGCTGCAGATTTTTCAGCCAGAGGGTCTCTAACCTGTCCCTCTTTTTGCTGGAATAGAAAACAGTTTAGTATTTCTGTCTCTGCAGCTGTAACAGATAACATGTTAATTTTGGTGTAAAACAAGAAGATAGAAACAATCCTCCAAAGGCTGTGATCTGAAGCAGGGCAGGAAAAGCCAAAGCAGAACTGCTTTGAGCAGTTTCACCCTGAAGGTCTCACACAGCAAAGGAGAAGGCAGGAAAAAGGCAGAAAAGAAAAGAACTATTTTCGAGATAGTGCTGATCAAAACAGCATTGGTCTGAAGATAAGTCAAGCAGTAATTAGTCTATATTGTTGTTGTTTCATAGAGGCAATTGATGGCTCCCATGTATGAGCTGAGGGTTTGTTTACTCTCTGGTCCGTCAGAGCTGCCATAAGCCAGAACTGATCTATGCTGGGCTGCAAAGCTGTGTTCCTTCAGGCCTGGGGTTTGGCTTCTCACACCTGCACTGGTCTTTGGAAGCCAACACTTGTGCTCTTGAGGTTACAGGGAAGTGGTGATGGCTCCACCTCATGTGCAGGTAGAGGGTTAGATGTGCTGTGATGCAAACCACAGCTGTGTGGCTCTTAAAGTCACCTTTGCTGGACTTTCAGATCAGACAGGGCAAAACTCATATGGTTCATGGGAAATGCCCTGCTCTCTAAATTAGGAAAAGTCCTGATCTGCTCAGACCACTAGAGTGGCAAGCACTGGCCCCTTGGTTGAGAAAAAAAGCTAAAATTCCATGCTTCAAGGCTGCACATTTCGCAGCTTTCCTGAGAGCTTGGTTCACTTATTATGTGAACATACTATTGTATGTTATAGGCATACAAATATGTGTGCCATACAATAATCTGCCTTGGAAATCCCACTGGAGCAAAGTATTTAACTCTGAAAAATATTTGGAGTAACTTCTTTGCAATGTATAGAGCAGCAAGAGTTTAAGAAACAATCTCACTGTATTTAAACAGTCATTACTGCTTTCTGGGTAAATAACACATGTTTTTAAAATGGTCTCTATACACAATAGACGCTAACACAATAAATCCTAATTGCTCTGAAGGACCCATTAGGCTGTATCAGGTCAATACATGGCGGAGCTTTTTTGAAAGTCACTCACCCTGTTGTTACATAAGCCACAAATTGAAAGTCCATAAATAAGTATTTGCCAAATGAAGAGTGAGGGCTTTGCCAGGGCCATACTAATTTATCATGTCAACTTCACTATGGAGACTGTTTTCTTTTCAAGGGCCCATGAGAGAAAAAGAAAAGAAAAGAAGCATAATAACTTGATGTGTTTCAAAATCTACATATCTGAAAAGTTTCAGATGTTTCAGGCTGTACTATACCCCCCAAGAAAATTGGATGTAGGAACTTCACTGCTGCTTCCTTATCTCAGCATTGTGTGAGTCACAAGAAGGAGATTTGAAGACTAGCCATGGCTGTGGCATGGCAGAGGCCCATCCTCATTACCACCAACCCTTCTGCTCCTTTGGGCCAGGGCCCTGATCCTGCCTCTGCATGCTGTGGTATTAGCACCTCAGGACAGGAATATCCCTTCAGTCTTGCCAATATGGCTCATGGGAAGGTTTCCAATGCCTGGGGGGACCAAAGAAAATTTTTTACATACATTTTATGTGCACCTATATGTACAAATATAGCTAGTTACTAAGTGATGAGTTTGGCAAGATTAGTTTTATGTGCAGCCACTCTTCCTGATTTTACTTTGATCTTACCTGAATTTCTGGTAGCATTTTACAAACTGCAGCACTTGTGTTAGGTGTAGCTGAAGTCTGTGTCACTGTTAGAAATCAAGTTTTGAATTAATTCGTTCAGTAGTTTTCAAGTTCCATGTAACTTTTTGGATATGGTTACAGTTTGGTGTGGTTTTGTTTTCCGGCAGTATGTTAAGGTGTATAATTGCACAGGTGTGTATATAAAACAAATTGTATTGATGTAAGCTAGGATTTTTAAGGGAATTTCAGCAAGGCATGGTGAAAAGTATTCAAGTGATTTAAATCTGAATTCCTGTCCCCAGGCCTTTAATTCTTCTAGGCACATGAGAAATGTTCACTGCTGCTGCTGTTGCACTTCAGTAGGATTTGGGTGCCAGGGTCCCTCTGCAAATGCTGGCAGTGATTCTCACTCTGCTCTGCCTGCTTGCAAAGGGCCAAGAGTCCCTCTGTCTCCCTGCATGTCAGGTCCCTCCTGCCTGCAGTGCAGCAAGAACCTTGGTCTTATTTAGGAGCCCCCCTGTTCCATGCTGTTCCTGTTCCTGTGCTGTTCCATGAGGTCAGTCCTGCTGCCGGGGTTTGCAGCACAGGCAGCCTGGAGCTGCAGCTCTCAGGTGGGAAGGGAAACACTTGCCACAGGTGGAAGCAGAAGCACACCTGCCTTGGTGCAGCATGCAGTCGTGTCCTCAGTGTGGGGCAAGCACTGATATCCTTTTGTACCAGCACACAGTGGTCTGCTGTGCTGGCGCTGCCTGCGGGCTGCACGGTGATGCCAAAAGTGATGTCTGTTCCTGCACTCGTTACAGGCAGTAAGGCACAGTCCTGTGCTGCTGCAAACCACCTCATGGTCTGCAGCACCCCCTCACTCAAGCAGTTAGTTATCAGGGGTCACTGCTAATTTGAGCAATGCCTGAGCCAGCACAGCCTCCAGCTGGGGTGACTGGCAGGCTGCCCACCAGCACTGGGAGACTGGAGTCACCTGTGCTGGGCCCCCACTGCTCCCTTCCTGGGAGCTGGAGACTTGTCAGCACTGCAGACAAAACCAGGATTTGCTGCTTCAAGCAAGAGTCGAGGGCCAAGGGGTGGTGTGTTCATCCTATGACAAGAGAGGTAGGAGGTTTCTGCCCTACTTTGGTACTGGCAAAGCCAAGGGCGAGATCAGTGCTCTCTGGCTTTGTCCCTGCCCAAAGCCTGGGCTGAAAAGCTCTTTGCAAAAGTCTGCTGAGTCCTCTAACAAGGGCAAGGGCAATACCCAGTCTTTACAAAGGAAACTCAGTCCTTTTCTAAAGTATTTTAAAAGTCAAGGTATCCATCACAAAAGCAACTTGTTCAGGTAAACATTGTACACTGACAATCAGCAGTGAAAGAACCAAATACAGAAATACTTATCACCTTTTTACTTTCTGCTTCTACCAGGAACCACTGCACCCCAGCTAAAAACGCCTCAGTGGGTGGAAGTATGTCTGTGAGGACATGCATTGTCAGTCCATGCCTGTATCCTCTGGGCTGGAGCCAGGAGCAGGGATTAGATGAACTCCCAGGCAGACCTGTCTAGCATGGTGGAGCTTCCTGGACTCTTCTGCACATGGATAAAAGGTAAAATGATTTTTAATATCTTAAGAGTTTTTTAACTACAAAAGCATTTTCTTAGGGCCAGAAAACACTTCCTTTTTGGTCTGCAGGGTTTGGCACAGTAAATTTTGTGCAGACACATCTTCTGTTACTAATAGTGCTGTATGCACATAAAGCACTGTACTCTCATACTGTACTGAAGAGATGAGTAACAAACCTATCAATTGCACTTGCACTTACACCATATTTAATCCTGCTCTGGTTGTTCTGCTATATATTCATAAAAAACAAAAAGGAAACAGAAGCACAGAGCAAGCCAACAGATGTCTACCTGGCTCTTAATTGGATTTTATGTGTCCCTAGTGTAGCAAATACAGCATTATTTACAGCCAGGCTCTAAGAATTAGATACATCTGGAGGAGTGGCAAAACCTGAACCAGGCTACAAGAGTTGATAGATTTAACTGAAATGAAGAGCTGCCCCATTTCCCCATTATCTTCTCCCTTCCCACTTATGTACACGTTCCCCATTGTGTGTCAAATCAAACTAAGATATTGCCCAAGAGATTGCTTATAAAAATGAAAGATGCCAACAAAAAAGAGAATTTCTGCTCTTATGGAGCTTCATCAGCATTTTCTAATTGTACAGCAATGATGATAATAAAAAGGCTGCCCTCTGCTCTCAGCTATAATTTGGGTAATCAACTGACAGCCATAATGAAACTGTCTGTGATTGCTTTCTGCTGGGCTGCTAATTCACAGAAACTCATTGTTGGGGAGAATTAAAAGTTATGACTCCTGCTACAAGGATATGCCACTGTCTTCCAAAGGAACATGTGACTTATAATTTTCTTCTGTATAGCTCTATTACAGAGAAAACTTAGAGCATAAAGCAAAGAGGTATAGGGATGTGAGATTTTTTTCCCCCCCTTTTTTAAAAAAAAATGTTGTTAAGCATCAAAGTTGACAGTGCCAAATAATATGCATGCCTAGGCCGGGTGGATATGGATTTCAGGGGTGGTTGTGAGGTCTCTCAAAAATCCCTGATGACTTTGGTCATCAGCAGTCAGTGCCCTACCTGTGGGTACATCAGAGCAGTATTATGCAAGACAGGTTTTACTTCTGGGAGGAAGGAAGGAAGGAAGGAGTTAAGTCATGCTATGAGTCTTTGCTTTGTGGGCTCTGTGCAGTTAAGGGGGTATTTTGGGTGCTGCAGCAGGCCTTGAATGCAAGCTGTCTGTACCTGTGATGTGCTGTGGGTATGTCTTGACTAGTAGATGCAGGGCTGGATGCAAGTACTGTGGTCCAAACTGCCCTTCCATCCACATCCACTGAGGTGGAGTGAGCAGCTCCTGTGCAAGGGCTTGGGAGCAGCTTTCTGCCTTGGCCAGAATCAGACTCTGCCATAGCAGCTGCAGTCTGTGACCCGTGATCTGGCTTCTGAATCAGGTCTGTTCCCCTGTGTGCCCCGAACGTGCCGTGGGCTTCAGGGCTTTCAGGGAAGCGCTTGAAAATCAGGCTGGCAATTTCGGTCTTTACGAATGCATGGACTGGAGGATTGGAATTCCTGGCAGCTGAACGTGACCACCTCGGTGGCCCTGGCAGGAGCCCGCGGTCCCAGGGCGCTGGGCAGAGCCCTCTGCCCTGGCACGGTCTCGTCGTTGGTTCGTGCTGCGCTCCAGCGCCTGCCACCCGCCTGGGAGGGAAGAAAAGGGGCTGGCGGAGCGGATGGCGACCGGAATCCGGGGCAGGAATGTGGTAACGCAGCTGCCTGCTCCCGGGCACGGGCGATTTCCCTTCCCGCAGCGTTCCGGGAGTCGGGAGCGCTGCCCGGCCGGACAGCGCCGGGAGGCAGCGGCGGTAGATGCTACAGTGCCCTTTCTGCCTGGGCTGATGTGCCATGGCCGGAGCAAGGCAAATCCGGCCAGGACCCCTTCACCTTTTCCCTTCCCCTACCTAGGGTTTCCCCCCGTTCGTCCCAATCCCATTACGGCGGGCGGGGCCCCGGCCCCTTCCCGCGGAGGAAGGGGCGAAGCGGCAGCAGCGCCGCGGGCACGGCCGGCCCTCCTGCTCCGGCCGCCTGGCTCTGCGCGCTGAGCCGGGAAGTCGCGGCGCTGGGGGGGGCGGAGGGTCCCGGGTCTCGGGAGTGGCCCGGTGAGCAAGAGGGGAAGGAGATGCACAGATGCGGAGCAGTCAGTGGTTTGGCAGCACCGTCGTCTTCTCACTTGGCCGCCTGCCCCCGGGCCGCCGCGGGGCTCCGAGCACCGGCGGACGGGCCCCGGCGGGACGCCCCCGGCAGCGTGGGCCGGGGCAGCGCGGCGTTTCGCCGCCGCGGGACTCGGTGCCCGGCGTGGGGGCGGCCGCGGGGAGCCCCGGCGGGCGGGGCCAGCGGCGGGGGCGGTGCCGGGGCGGTCCCGGGGCGGGGCGCGGGCGCGGCGCGGAGCGGGGCCGCCTGCCCGCCCCAGAGCGCAGGTGGCGGCGGCGGCGGCGGCGGTCGGGATCGCGCTCTCGCTGCCGGCGGGGCCCCGCTCCCGGCGCGGAGGCGGCAGGTGCCGGGACATGCGGTGGCGGTAGGACGCGCGGCGGCGATGGGCGGCCGGGGGCTGCCGGTGCCGCTGCTGCTGGGGCTGCCGCTGCTGCTGGGGCTGCCGGCGGCGGGGCGCGCCGCCTCCAAGGCGCTGGTGTGCCAGGAGATCACGGTGCCGATGTGCAAGGGCATCGGCTACAACCTCACCTACATGCCCAACCAGTTCAACCACGACACGCAGGACGAGGCCGGGCTGGAGGTGCACCAGTTCTGGCCGCTGGTGGAGATCCAGTGCTCCCCGGACCTGCGCTTCTTCCTCTGCAGTATGTACACCCCCATCTGCCTGTCCGACTACACGAAGCCGCTGCCCCCCTGCCGCTCCGTCTGCGAGCGGGCCAAGGCCGGCTGCTCGCCCATCATGCAGCAGTACGGCTTTGCCTGGCCCGAGAGGATGAGCTGCGACCGCCTGCCGGTGCTGGGGGACACCGAGGTGCTTTGCATGGGATACAACCACACGGAAGCCACCACCCTGCCGCCTTTCTTTGGGAAACCCACGCGCCCTGCCAAGGACATGGCCAAAAACCTGACTCCACTCGATGGGCAGCGCCTCTCAGGGCTGGACTGTGGTCAGACTTGCAAGTGCAAAGCGCCCCTGATCCCCATCTCCAAGGAGTCCCATCCGCTGTACAACCGCATCAGGACTGGGAAGGTACTCAACTGCGCCATCCCCTGCTACCAGCCCTACTTTACCCAGGATGAGAAGACCTTCGCTACCTTCTGGATTGGCCTCTGGTCCATCCTCTGCTTCCTCTCCACCTCAACCACCGTGGCCACCTTCCTCATTGACATGGAGCGCTTCAAGTACCCTGAGCGTCCCATCATCTTCCTCTCTGCCTGCTATCTCTTCGTCTCCATGGGCTACATTGTGCGGCTGGTGGCAGGGCATGCCAATGTGGCTTGCAACCCAGAGCACCACCACATCCATTACGAGACCACGGGCCCTGCTCTCTGCACCGTGGTTTTCCTTCTCCTCTACTTCTTTGGCATGGCCAGCTCCATCTGGTGGGTTATCCTGTCCCTCACCTGGTTCCTGGCAGCTGGCATGAAGTGGGGCAATGAGGCCATTGCTAGCTACTCGCAGTACTTCCACCTGGCTGCCTGGCTCATCCCCAGTGCCAAATCCATTGCTGTACTGGCACTGAGCTCTGTGGACGGTGACCCGGTGGCCGGGGTTTGCTATGTGGGCAACCAGAGCCTGGAGAATCTGCGGGGCTTTGTGCTGGCACCACTAGTGGTTTATCTCTTCACCGGCAGCCTCTTCCTGCTGGCCGGCTTCGTCTCGCTCTTTCGCATCCGCAGCGTGATCAAGCAGGGCGGCACCAAAACTGACAAGCTGGAGAAGCTGATGATCCGCATCGGCATCTTCACCGTGCTTTACACTGTGCCTGCCACCATCGTCATCGCCTGCTACATCTACGAGCAGCACAACCGGGAGGCCTGGGAGCAGGCACACAACTGCTCCTGCCCGGGGGACCCTCACCGCCCCAAGCCTGACTATGCTGTCTTCATGCTCAAGTACTTCATGTGCCTTGTGGTGGGGATCACCTCCGGCGTTTGGATCTGGTCTGGCAAGACACTCGAGTCCTGGAGGCGCTTCACCACCCGCTGCTGCCGGGCCAGGAAGCCTGCAGGGGCCTCTGTGTACGGTGAGGCCAGCCCGGCCCTGGTGGGCAGGACGGTACTGCCCAGTATGGCCTCCTACCACAAGCAGGTCCCACTGTCCCACGTGTGACCGGAGGGAGCCTCAGTGACCCCAGCCACGGGGAGGAGAGGGTTGCAAAGACCCTGGGCCACAGAAGAGGTGGTGACAGCTGGGCCACCCCTGGCATCTTCAGCCCCACCGTGGTGGTGCTGCTTGGGACCACGGGCATGGAGCAGCTGCAGCCCCAAGCAGGGAAGGGGGAGGTGCTGCCGGCTATGTGGGGGCAGATGGACAGGGAGGCCTGGGGCCTGGCACTGCCATGTATATCCTGGTTGGGGTCCTGGGATGCTGCTGCCTGTGGGCCAGTCAGGAGGCAGTAGCCCTCAAGCACTGATTTGTGTCCCACAACAAGCCTCTGGGCAGGTCGTGCTGGTGCTGAGGTGAAAGGCAGAGCTGTAGCAGGCAGGGCAGATGGTGGCCCCCAACCCCAGGTGGGGGCTGGCGCTGCCACTGAGCCCCTCACTAAAGCCCAGAGAGTGGATCAGGGAGAGCTGGCAGGGGGTGCTGCCTCCCTGGGTGCCCTGGGCATAGCAGCAGACTGTCCTCAGTGCCCCCAGAGCCCCCAGGCACTGCTACATATTGAGGAGGAGGAGGCTGGGGGCCCTGGTGTGAGGCGGAACTGAGCTGCGCGGGCTGGGGGCTTCATGGGTGGTGGCAGTGCAGGAGGAAGGGGCCGTGGAGAGCATCTGCCACAGGGACAGGGTCCCAGCTGTCTGCAGCACAGGCAGGGACCAGGTGATCCCCTGTGGTCCCTTCTGCCCTGGGCAAGCACATCCGGCTCCCTTCAGTCAGGGCTCAGGACGGGGTGGGAGCTGGCTCCGGTGCGCTCGGCTGGGCGGCACCGGCCCCTGCTCTGCGATGGGCAGCCAGCTGCACTGCCCATGGAGCCGCTCAGCCCGCGGAGCCGAGGGCGGCACAAGGGGGCCGTGGCTCCGGGAGCGGGGCTCTCCTGAGCTGTCCTGTGCCCTGGGAAGGGTCGGTGCTGCTCCTTGTCCTGTGTGGGTTGCCTGGGGTGAGGGAGGCAGGTCCTGTGTCCTGCCTGCCAGCTGTGGCATGTGGCACAACCAGCCCCAGAAGGGTGGTCACAGCCCTGCAGTGAGCAGTGCCTGCACGGGGGTATCCTGGCCACATGGTAGGCTGTCTCTCTGGAGCAGCAGCCGGGCTTTCCTGTCAGTCGGCTTCAATACTTGTTGCTGCTTTTTTCAAAGCTGTGCCTCTGCCAGAGAGAGTAACAGATTTGAGAGGGAGAAGTTAATTTAGGAGAACTTAGCAGAGCGCTCGTACCTCTTTTCCTCCAACTTCCCAAGTCTTTTTCACCTCTGTGGATCAGACAGCAGTTGAGCACTGACAGAACCATTGCCTGGCATTAAGCAGTGGTGACAGCTGGGTTTCAGTAAGAAGAATAATGGTGAGGGGGGCCCTGCTGTCAAAGTCACTAAATGCAGCCAGGGCAAGGGGCTCCGGCTGTGGCACGGGATGAGGCTGGCTGCCTCTGGCTTCAGGCCACTTATGAAAGCACCTGCGTTTTAATTTTTTTCCCCTTGCCCTAAGCAGTGGTGATGTATGTAACTACCCAGCCATTACTGGAGTGCTTTTTGCCCTCCTTCAAGCGTGGCACTGTGACCCAGCTGCTCAAGCACTGGAGAACAACTGCTGGCTTTGCTCCTGCAGGGCTGCAAGGATCTGATGTTGTTCTTAACACGTTTGGACCACTCCAGTCAAAAAGGTTTCCCCCTCATTTTAAAACCAAAACTTGGGAAGTAAGGGAACGCTCAAGTGGCACATCTCCAGGTAAAGGTACTGCATGAGCGTCTCTGGGGTGTTGTGGATAGAGGAGACAGAGGTGCAAGGATGGAGGGCTCACCAGGGACTGTTCAGTTGCACCCATCCACACTCTTGCAATAGGACTCACCCCCTCCAGCATGCTGGAGTACTTTATTGTGGACAGAATTGCACCATATTGTGTTAGAAGCTGTAAATAGTTGTATTATAGCCTAATTTGTACATACAGAAGCCGTAGTGACCTTTGATACAGGTTAGGGACAGGTGTGTTCTCAGCAGTGAGGGAGGTCAGGTGCAGAGACACTGTAGTAGTCTCTGCTGTAATCCAGGGCATTAAATGATTCCAACCTCCTCCATTCCACACCTTGCTGGACTCCTCTCTCTCTCTAGTGCCTTTTGTAGATACAGCTAAACACACATCATGCAATACAATGAACAAAACCATGTCAAAGGTGGTATTTTGCTGTTTTTGTTTTTTCCAAAGTGCAACTGACTGTGTAAAGAAATTCAAGATTAGCTACAAACCGTTGCCTATTGAAAAATGCAAGATCGTTTCCAGCTTTGATCTAACGGTAGGGTAATAGAATCAACTCGTGTTTGAGCCTGGCTTCTCAGCAACAAGTGGCAGGAGGGGGGATGGAGCCGTTGCCGTGTGCCCTGTCTGCTGTAGCCAATTTACATGTTGGGTTTTGCCTCTTCCGTTACTGATGCTGTTCAATGTTGCTTAAATAACTGTACTATATTATGTGAAAAGCTGAAGAAATTTTATTCAAAGAGAAGTATCAAGATTAGTTATTTATGATGATAAAAAAATAGTGTGTGTTGTTTTCTTTACTTCTGCTTCTGTTAGAGTATTTATTACCTTAAAAGCTTACCTGTCAGGGGGAGGTGTGTGCTGCAGGGCTCTTATCACTGGGGATCGTGGGGAACTGGTGAGGCAACTGCACTTGCGTGGCACAGGAATAGCATGTTCCGTGTGCACGAACGCAGGCAGCGCTGCCCTTGGCACGGAGGATGGCACATATCCGTGCCCTCAGCGCCGGCGTGCCCGGGCTGGGCTGGGCCCTGCAGCCAGGCTCTGCCCATGCCGGGTTCTGTGCTGGCTGTGCCTGTGACCGTGCGTTCCCTGACGGGCCAAGGTCACGCCTCGCTGCTAAAAGAGGGTTAACTATCAACTTTTATTGGCGTTCTGCAGTTTGCACAGTACGTGTCCCTTGCCCTGTGCTGAGATCAGGCCCTGAAGAGGTGCCCTTTGATACTCGGGAGGCCAAGCAGATGACAGCTCCTAGCCAAGCAGGATGCTGCTCGCCGGCCCGTTTGGGTGGCCGTGTTGCCATCTGCTGTGCGACCTCTCCTCTTGCGAGGAGCACTCGGGGAGGGACAGCAAGGGGTTAAGGCTGGCTCCGTGGTGACTAATGGTGCAGGACTCTGCTATATAGTTAGGTGTGTAGGCACACACCAGGTCCCACCAGATAGGATCTCTTACCTGGAAGCAGCATTCCAGCACCCAGTGATAAACCTGACAGTCCCACAGCCTGACTCACTTGATTCTGCAGGGATCTGCCCCCCATGCTCAAGTACAGGCAAAACACACCATTGGGGCTGATCCTATCACTTGAAGGGCAGTAGTTTTGGGGTGTGGAGGGGACATGAACCATTTCACATCAGGTTCTTCTCAAGGAGCTGTGGACACTCACTGCCTGCTCCCGGAAGTAACTCCAGCACGATGCTGGCAGCCTTGTTGTCATTCTTGCCTGCCAGGAAGCTGTTGTGTCCTCAGTAAACAGGAGTTTGGCAGCACTGCCATCCACCGCCTACCTCAAGCCAGTTTCCGAGCAAGGGAAGGGCCTTTCCTGCAGGCAGCGTGTGAATCACCTGCAGGACTCTGTTCCTGTGAGCACACACATGATCCTGCACAGCTGGCCCAGTGCTTGTGCTCCTGTGCTCTCCAGGTTCCACTTGGTCAACTTAAACCACCCTCGACGCAGTCACCGGCTTCCCTGAGGCTGAGCAGTGCAAACGCAGCACAAGTTCAGGCTGGGTGGCATGGGGCATGGCAGTGTCTCATGGCATGGGGACCGTGTGGCTCTTCAACTAGATCAGAAACCAAAATGGTTATTTCACCTAGAAAATGCCTTGTCTGTGAAGACAGCCTGAGACCTTCCTAATCCTAAGACAAACAGGCCCAGGCTCTGCCATTTAAGTGCTCTTTTGCCAGTCCATTGGGAAATGGGTGTTAGTAAGGGCACTGCAGTCACTTTGGCAGTACCCTGTAATTTGCTTTATGTTGGCAAACAGCTTATTTGGTGCAAGGATAGTTTTCCCAGGTAACAGTATGGAATGCCAGTTCTATGTCATTGTCCTGCACTGTGGGAAATCCCAGGACAGGATGGGGGCTGCAGCTGCCCAGTGCTGAGCTCTGAATGGAGCAGCTCACCCTGCCCTGAGCACTCCTGCCAACCTCTTGTGCAAGCTCTTGCCTCAATGGCTCTTCTGTCCAATTCTGCTTGCTCAGGGTATGCTTGACACCTATACTCTTATCCAGGAGCAGTGGTCTTGACATTTATTCCATCCCTCAAGTGCCTGTCCTCTTAACTGCCAAACCCAAACTGAAGTAGTTCTCATAAAATTCCCTTGGAAACAAAATACACAGTCCCTGTACACAAGGGGAAGGGGCTGCTGGAGCCCAAGGGTATCTTGTAGCCCACGAACACCTCCATGGCCTCCTGCCCCTGCTGACACACACTGCTCCTGCTGGTCTGGCTGGTGCTCACATCAGTCTTGCTGGGCCATAACACAGCTATTGTCTCTGCAAACAGCATTTACTGCCAGATGGGGAGTGCTACCCTGGAACTGAAAGCAGGCAGAGGTCACCTCAACATAGATTAAATATTACTCAGCTGTTGGATTGAGAAAAACAAGGTACATTGATCCTATAGCCAGTTGCTCTTCCCTGGGAGCAGAGGTAGGTAATAGTCTCTGTAATTCCAGTATTCTGACCATGACTGTAATTTTTTTTTTGTCTCTTTGAGGAAAGTGTTGCCAGCATATAGAATAGTGCAAATTGGAGCATATTTCCCCTGTACAGTTCATTGTCCAGCAGAAACACCCAAAAGCAATTCCTTCTGAAAAACTATGACTGCCCAGCACTTCAAAAGGGAGCTATATGGTTTACATTTTATTGTTTAGCCAAGAAACACACTACCTGTGTTTTCCAGAATCTAACTCCTTCAGGAGTACCAGAATGGTAAATGGAATTGCTATTTTTTTTCTCTTAAGAAGCTGAGTTGGAGTTCAGGCCTGCATAGTATCTGCTGAACAGATCAAAATCCCATTGATTACATGCTCTGGGCTACAGTAAAACTAAAGCCAGGTAATATTCAGAGCAAAATTAGGTTCCTGTCTCCTGCAGGATGTACTGCAGAAGCAGCATCAGCTTGAGATGTCATTCACCTGCCATCCAGATCAGCAGGAAGAGTCTCCATCTCATCTGGCAAGGAAGGGAAATGAGTGCCTGCAGTCTCTGCTGAGCAGCTCACAGAGAGTGGCTGCTTTTGGAGCAGCCCCACAGCAGGGTGCACCAGACCCATCCCACACAGCTGAAGGCACCTGGTGGTGCTGAGGAAGCAAAGCTCCGTAGCAAATACTCACAAGTCAATCCAGGAGCTGGGCACTTGTAGCTTCCAGTTTAGTGCTCCTCAAGGCAGGACTTAAGAACCATCAAATCACCTCCACAAAAACTGGCCCTACTTAAAGACCATTGCAGTGCAAAGAAACTGTCAGTGAGTGGTTTATTTGAGCAGCCCGAGTCAAGTTCTAAATCCAAAGACCATGTGGGAAGATCTGGGCAGCCATGCAAGGCTTCACTGCACCCAGGCATTGCCGGCCCATGGGGACCAAATGAAGGTGGGTAGGCTGGTGTGGGGAAGGGAGAGGCCTTAACAAACACCACTTTTTGAGGTGTTTGTCTTTGGTTTTTTCCTTTTATGACGGGCAGTGGAATCCAACAACTGTACAGAACAGACTCTTCACCTTTAACTTTAATTAAAATAGAGTTTATTAGCTTTTCTTTTAATACAAACATGAGAAAGGAAAACCACCTGAAGATGTAGTGTTATTTTCAATATTGAATTGAGATCAATACCTGAAGTGCCAAGTTCCGTGGGTTTGGGAGCCAGGGGCTGGCACGTTTGCACACTGCAAAAGGCTGCATGCATCATTTGAACAGCTGAGTGCAGCCACACTGATGGTGGCACTCACACAGCCCCACTCCCAAAGGCAGATGGACTTGTTCAGTGTAAATTTCTGGGCCTTGGCTGTAAGAGGAAGTGCACAAAACCCGTGTCATTCAGAGGGAGATCTGCTCCTAGGACACTGCCTAGAACCTATTTGGATCCAAGAAGGGAAGATACTACAAAGACTTGTAACAGGAAGAGTCTATAATAATACTTATCCTGTTTAGAGTTCAGTTTCAGAGCTTGAAAGTAAGCTCTGTTCCAAAGTCTCAGAAAGAACAAACCCCAAGCCTCTAGAGCAGTTGCACAAGATAAAATTCACTTTGGGGAAAAAAAAAAAGTTTATAGAAAGCTTTTTGATAATTCTCAGTTGAACACATTTTTTTTTCCATCTACCTCGATAGGTAGTCCAGGATTCTCAAACTCATTATTGTCTCATTATGAATGTAACTTCCTCCCAGGAAACTGAAACCCAAGGAGAGCCAGATGGATGCACAATATCAGCTTTAGGAACTCACTGTATATAGCACAAGAGATCTGCAGTAGAACTCAGAGAAGCAGTGCTGCACACACGCCATTCACCACTGGATTGCTACACTGTTTGGGATGGTGATGATGTTTCCAGACCAACTTCTTCATTCAATGCCTCAGAAAAATACACAGATTACATCTCTTCCAGAGCAATATAAGTATTAGAAAATGAGAGAAGCACCATAATTCACAAGAAATGCAGCATGGACCCTATACATTTTAACAATACATAAAACCGTATCTCTGCCCCCAGTCAAAACATTCAAAGTCTTTTGACAATCTTTACTGGAGTGAAGTTGTGGGTGCAGAGATGGAATTCCTTCCTGCTGGGCAGCTTCTTGGTATGAACACATCACCAATAATAGCAGCTTTTAGTAGCCAAACCAGGGAAAAGCCATCAACACGAGTCTATGCTACTGTTTTCAGCTCCAGAGTGGCTTTATACTTTTAAGAGTCCCATGTGTTGTTTTTGTTAACACTGCATTGACCTGAAATACAAATGCAGTGAGACTCTGGATGACAGGGGAGAGGAGGGAAGAACATTGTAACTATAGTCATGTGGTTAGTGTTTAAATTCTAAAATTTAAAACTACTTATTATTAAAAACCTCAAGAGTTCACAGCTATAGGCCTACATAGTAAGCAAACATCTGTAGGGGAGAGAAGGAGATAAGTTTGTTTTTGCACCTCTGGATACATTAGAAGGAGGAGAGAGTTGATTTGACTTGATTTGATTTGATTTGATTTGTCTTGTCTTTTGCACCAAGCATGTTCCTCAAGCTCTGGGCTCCCTTGGCTGAGTGGCTCTCCTCGCTTCCTCTTGCTGGAAGACACCATCACCGCTGGCCTGTGTGCATGGAGTGGTGGATCCCTCCGCTTGGTGTGGATGCTGCTTCCTGGTGCTGCACCTCGCTCTCTCCTCAGGAGAGGATGGCATTAGAACGGCGGATACCAACCAAGTTATCAGCACTGAACGATCGTCTCATAGCAGCTTTTGACAAGTCTTTGTATTTGTCTTCACACAGCCGGGAGATTGCCTGGGCACCACACACACACAATGGAAAGTGAGCATTAGCAAAGTCTGAACGTTCCAAGGGAGGTTTTACAAGGGCAATACCAACAGCACAGGTGCTCTGCAGCACTGACACTCCTGGCTTTTAATGAGGACTACTCTGGAGGGAAAATACTAATGGGGTCTGTCCCCAGGTCTGTCCCCAGACCTAAAGAAAGTGAATGGTTTCCATATGCAAGTATCTGCTTTATTTTACTAGTCTCACTATCTAATGAAGAACTTGGATCTATTTCAGACTTAAGGTTGTGGAAGTTATGTTGAAAATCACTGTGAGTAGCTGGGTCTGGTGCACGCAGCAGCACAAAAAATTTATTTTAACAGTGCAGAAATGCACATAGGCATTTCTCTGAGAGGAAAGGTTCAAACTGAAAAGGTTTCTGTGCTCCCTTGGGCATCTTACCCCTGGCCACTCACGGAAGGGCAAGCCAAGGAAATTAATTTCTACTAGGGTGTCTGTTTTAACTTTATATTCTCTACCCCCTCTCTCCCAACATATTCTGGATCACCCTCATGATCTGAGAAGGGAGGGCAGCCATGGTACTTTATTATAGCAATTAAATATTAGCACATGTAGAACCTAGTGTTGAATTGCTTTTTCATCCCTTTATTGGCTTGCCTCTGCCCTGCTTATCTAGCTATTCTAGTAACAAGCCTAATTATTTAAATCCTAATAACACAATTGTCAAAAAAAATTTGTGTCTCCTCCCCTGCAAGGCCTGTTTCTGTTTGGAGCCTTCAGGCATTATCAATGCAAATTAATAAGGATACCTGTAATAAAAAAGTTGACCTGAATTTCAGCCCTGAACATTTACTTCCATTAATAATTTACCACCTATCACCAGATGAACTTTCAGAATCCTGATCAGCTACAAGCCTACACCTTCCCTTTAAGGCAGCACCCATTCAGCACAGCCCAGTGTTCTGCAAGTTCAAAAGGTGAAAAGCACTCTGAGCATGAATAAAGTTCTAAGTGTATTTTAAAATAATTATTTACATTTATTTCTGCCGACCTTCTGGAGGCATGCATTTGGCTCAAGAGTGGCATTCTTTGAGACACTGGCGGCATGAGCTCCTGGTGCAAGACCAGACAGACTCTCCATCCTGCTTTAATGCTAGCACATCAATCACACAGCAACCTGTGTTGACATATTTAGCCCCAGTTGCCCATATGGTGTAAATCAGTTTTCAGTTTCTGGAATTCACTAATTCACTGCTTTATACAAGCTCCTATCAGCTGCTTATGCGCTTCTAACTGAAAGGTAGAATTAAAAATTTCAGCAAATAGTCTAAATATTTATCACATTTTAGAATTAAACCCCAAATGTCCAATATACATGCATTAGTAAGTGCATGATAGCAAATTACATACTGTACTGAAAATTACTCTGGTTTTAAATACCAAGTCCCCAAATACTAAGAAAGAAGAAACAAAACAGGCTCACAATCTGTAAATCATCCACTTATGCCCTGGCACTGAGCAGTTCAGTAAACAATTTCCTGTGGACTCTGAACTGCCCTACAACCACATTTACAATTAGTGACAGTGTTAGCTTAAAGTGCAAGTAAAAAGGGTGAGACAAAGCAGAAGAGCTGCATTGCTTAACTTTAAATAGAAGAATTCATAGGCATATAATACTTATCATTCCAAAGGACCAGGAGGGATCACACTTACTCCTGAAGTTCAGGCACTTATGGCACAAAATAAAATCCCTAGCCCTTGGCAGAATTATTGGGGGTGGACAAGGGGACAATATAAGCCAAGAATCTGCAGCACACCCCTCTCTGAAAAGGGACCATGGTATCAGTGTACACAGGGCCTGTGGTAATGCTTTTGTTGAAAGGTCAACAAAACAACACGCAGAGTCATCAATTAAACCTGGACAGATGAAAGGTTGCATTGATCCAATGAGAAATTTCCCTGGGAACCCAGGTAATTTGTATATTTTCAAAATGTCTTACATATCTCCAACAACTAGGAAGACTGACTCTGCAAAAGTTAAAGCTTTTTAAAATGAACCTTCATGCCAAGAAAGCTGCGGGGCCTCTCCACAAGGGCAGCCTTTCCCATGGAGCAGAAAGGGACAGTAATGTGCATTTACACTCCTCTGGGCATTCTGAAGGATTCCCAAGAAGGAACTATTCCAAAAGTTTATCTGAAAGTGACGTTTCTCTGGAAAGGTGGGAAGCCACAACTTATTTCTGCAGCTGCCCCCAGACAAATTGTTTATTAAACCATGAGAGCAGTAAGGGTGCTCCCTCTAAATCTAAAAGCAGCTGTGCAGTGGGATGCAGTGGGAAAACTTCAGCTGGTAGTATTTAGAAGGGTCTGAGTGTGACTGTCTCTAGGTGCTTGGAATACAGACTGTGACCAGAGAAGGACACACAATCCATTACATATGACACTAATCCTTTCAATCTTAAGTAGCTTAGCTGAACTACGGTTCCCAAAATAACATCCATTTTATTTTGCTATCTGCTATACTTTTGTAATCTCTTCCAGAACCCTTCCTTTCCTCAGAATCCTATCTTAGCCTAGGCATGGTTTTAGAAGTGCTACCTGTATTTATAAAGGGGTTAAATTACCCTGTAATACACTAATCTAAAAGCTTTTTAGTTTTTCTAACTGCCACTTAACATGATTAGCAACAGATGCTCTTACTACTCATACAAGGCAGAGGAGTCCCCTGCTCAGCCGCTCTCAGACCATTTACCTCCAGCTTCTGTGCTCTCTCTTTACTGAGAGGCTCCAGCAGAAAGCTCAGGTTATTGTCATCTGCTAGGGAGCGAAGATCAAAGTAGTATTTGGCGTAAACACTGGCAGGAACATTGATATTAAACTGCAGTAGCTCCAAGAAGTGTCTTTCCATCTCGTTCCTAGGAGGCGTAAGGGACAGGAGACAAAGGAAAATAAAGATTGTTTTAGCTGGCTGAAAACACTGAAGAGACCTCAAGCTTGTTTTAAACCCAGCAACTTTGAAACAGGTCACTGAGAGCTCTGCATTATTAGTTTTGAGAGACAGGTCATTCTCTGGTGCTCAAAACAAGGTGCAGCTTTTGAGTCGTGGCACCTCGGGCTCGGCTCGGAAGGCAGTGCCCTGTCGAGCACTCGCCCGGCAGAGCGGGGAGGTTCATTCTTCGGAGTTCCATTAGTGCAGCTGTACAATTCATGTGCCATTCTCACTCTCATACGGCCCCACACTATAGTGATCAGATGAAAGGAATGATGTATGCTGTTTATTAGCTCTGAAGAACTTGCAGACATTTTCACCAGGCTGATAACAGGAAGGGGGTTTATTGAAGTAGAGGCGGACTAACAAAAGGAGTAGGCAGATCACCACGGCAACAAATGGATCTATGAAGAGCTGCTGCTATTATCTCACAGAAAAAAGCCTCTTGAAGCAACATGGATTCATCTCCAATAAATAAATAAATAAGCAGCATTAGGTGGGAGAAGGAATTTTCTCCTCAATAGCATTAGGCAAGATAACAAAGTACTATGTCAAAGGGCACTGTCCAGTTTTTACTCTCTTGTCTGTTTCCACTGGGCAAAATACTTGGAGGAAAGTGTGCAAAGTGCCATGACATGAAAAAAACTGCTTCAGCTACTGTAATGTGGTCAGCTAAAGCAGAGATACTCTACAGAGGAAAAACAATGTTTTACAAATTAACCTAAAAAGAAAGTGGTGGTAACCAAGCCCAGCAATTCAGTTCAACAACAACTCAACAAACACTACAGGTAGCAGATCTGTTCCAACAGAATTTAGCAGCTGTATAGGCCAGCTGTGTATAAACCAGAAGATGGGTTGCATCAAGTCAGTGCCAAGGCTGTAAATGCTTTTTTTGGGAGCTTTTAAAATGGATGCTTTACCTATCAGTGCGGGCACAAATAAATGAAGGAATCATCCCTGTTGTCCTGTATTAGGTCTCAATATGAATAGCAGCTTTTCTTTCTAGCATAGCAGACTTGAGTATCATTGAACCTAGTGCCAAAATTAATTTCCTGTTCCTATGGTCATAAGCCTATAGAAATGTAAATCAGATAATGTTTTGATGATCAGCTGATCAGAGCTTGATTTACCCTGTGAGTAAATGCTCTTCACTGCCCCTTTTGTACTCACTAGGCTAATACATTTTAATTCTGTAAAAAGACAATTCTTCATTGGATTAACAAGTCTATTAACAGTGGTTTAAAACCTGGGAAAGGATAATGCCCATGTTTTTTCTGTGCCTTATTTACAAATACACGTAGCCTAAAGAATGCACAGCATGTGTCCCCTTACAAACAATCATGGCAAGATTAGCAGCTGTACTGTTAATTTTTCAGCAATTATGGATTCAGTCTCATCAAAGCTAGCAAGTTCTGACAAAGGATGACTTCCAAATGTCAACTGAATTTCCTTTGATTTTTTTTCCCATTAGAAATAAGTAAACAAAAGAACTATCTCCCAAAACCCAAAAGAAAAATGTCTTTCATTAAGAAAACACACCTTTGCCTTGGTCAAATAGAAAAGGGCTTGTGATAGAAAAATTAAGAGGAACACTTCAGCTATGTTGAGTAGGATGAGGCAAAGGCAAATGACCACATGTGGCAGTAGCCAGGCCTGGATCTTGTACCCCTTCAGAACCTGAGAGCCCCCAGCTCCTGCCCTAGCAAAGCTGTTGGAGGTGCTGCCAACACAACTCCGAGCAGAGGGGAGAGAGTTTGGTGGGGAGGAGGTGCACCCGTGCTGCCTTCACAAGGGGTGCCTGGCTTGTAAGCACACACACAGAGATTTGCAAACTGGATGAACTAAATCAGATATAAAACCTTTTGCCACTTCCAGAGTGGTGCAGCCCCTGTGCTTGGTTTGTTCAACAAGAGCATCTGTCAGGTTAGTGAGATCATTCTAGCTACAGAGAGCCGAGAGGAGAATTCACAGCAGTTCACGTGCAAAACTTGCCACCAGCTCTTGTAGATAAGCTGTTCCTGCACAGGAATGGCCCAGCCAGGGAGCCATACCTGGTACAGTCCTGCCAAGCAGTCTTTAGCTGGGGACCTGCTGGGATTTTGGGTGCATTCTTTGGCAGCATCACCAGCCATCTCCAACATTAGAATGCAACTGTGACTGAAATCCGTTGCCAATTATTTTCTCTCACTAACTCTTGTATTTGGAATACTGACTATCAAATGACTGGTTTAAAAAACATTGCAGCTACTAAAACTGACAATAACTATAGCACCAACCATGAATTGAAAGCAGACTTGCAAACTTAATTTTGCCAGGTATTTGAAGCAGTTTTCCAAGGTCCCTATAATGTTATCCATATAATGGATATATATATATATATATATATATATATATATATATATATATATATAACATATATAATGATGTTATCCAGCCAAAGAGTGGTGAAGTCTGCCCAGTTGCAGAGCCTGAGATGAACACCCTGTGCCACTGCCAGGAAGGGAGTAGTAGAGTGTCTGCCCATACCTAAATTCAAAGGTCTAAGTCATCTCAAATGAGATGGGATTACAAAAATCCCATCCTCAAATTGGAGGAAAAAATTATGCCTAAATTCCATCTATTTTCCTTACCACAGTCACTGCTTTGAAAATGCAAGTACTGACAATTTCAGGAGACTCAGCACTGGCAACAGAGAATAAATATCCTGCTTGTTACAGATATTTTCAGTGCTATCAATTTGATGTGTCCCAACTAAGGCTAGAAGAAGAGACATCAAAAAGAGCAAGATGTACCCTCCAGCACTCCTGGCTTTGCTGACCCCACTTCAGCCATCTCAGAGTTATTTGCAGCTACGCTTCAAGTACGTTCCTCAGATAGATGAGCACTCGGGGCCAGGCTAAGTGAAGATGTACATTGTATAAAATCACTAATTATGCTTTCTTGAACGCAGGGCTGGCACAGTCCTGCATTTTGAGACAAAGGACTCCCAGGCAAGGGGTATGTATAAAACAAGTAACAGCGGCTGATATTTGTGATGTGAAATAATTTGTATAATAAAATTGTTCTGGTGCAGAAAACTCCATCATTTTCAGAAATACAGCCCCCCACCTAAAAGGAAGAAAACTAGATATTCCTCCTCCTAAAGAGTCCCAAATGAATAATTTCCCTCTGTATTTTAAACATTAGTTTGGGCTGAATCCAGGAAGAGAGCTTGGGGCAAGAACACTGCCCCATGACACAGGCAGCCTCCAGTGCTGTGTACAGAGCTCTGCCAGCTCAGGCTGCTCCTGTGCTAGAACTGGCTGTCACTGCACAGGCCTGGACACATGCTGAGGGCACAGCACTGTGATTAAACTCAAACACAAAGCATGTCATGAAAGCAAGGACAGAAAGCCTGGTGTTTTAAGCTGGACTTGTATGATTTCGACCTGTGATTATAAGAGAAATAGGAGAACAAGCTAGCAAATAGAATTAAAAGAAAAATGTTGACGTTTCAAAGCCCTGAGATAGAACTTTGTGAGAAGGAATTTAACAGAAAACCTAATGGGCCAACTACAGTCCACATAAACACACCTCCAGCCCAGAGTATGAACCTGGAGCCATGAGGAGGAATATCTTCTCATACTGCAGAATCTGGCTTGAAGCTGAGTGCAGCAAGAAAAGACAGCAGATTCAAAATTTCTGAAAAACTGAAACTAACACACAAGACAAAAATATATCTAAGGAACAGCCTTACAAAAACAAGCAGTAGTAAGACTGAGGACTTTGTTTCCAGCACTGTAGGCACATCTAAGAACCCACCCAGAGAGGACAGCTGCAGCAGTAGCTGTTTGTAACACAGGCAACCACAGCTACCCACACAAACACCACCTGCTTGCCAGCAGCAGCACTAGGAGTTCAGACCTTGAGATGCTTAGGCCTTAACTGGATACACAAGACACATCAAAGTTATGGTTTACCTTGCAATTCTTCAAATTCTAAAACAGAAAAGGTAGGGGACAAATTTAGTTTGCTTTTTTTTTTTCCTTCTAAAAAAACCTTTTGGTAAGACTATAAATTGGGCAGTTTAGTTCCATGGCTCATCACTGAGATAAAGAAGGAGAAGAAAAGTAACTTTGAAGTCAGTTATGCAAATAATTAAAATTATTAATACAGATTTGTCTCAAAGTAGGGTAATTATCCAAAGTTTCTTGAGGATAAAAAGGAGAATGAGGCCAGACACTAAATATACACCTTATATATACATCATAGGAACAGAGACATATTTTTTCAGTGTGGTCACAAAAACTACTATTTAAAAAAACACAAACAAAAAAAAATCACACAAAAAACTTCACCGCTATAGATTGCCCAAACCTTGCAACTTACATGTCCTCAACAGTAATATCCTTCAGTATTTGGCAATAATCCACATTCCACACAGCTTGATCATCCCAGACTTTAGAAGCCAGCAGAATAGCTCCTAGAACTATCCTCTTCCAGTTACTAGGGCATATGTCAATCTCTGCATAGGTTAAAAGCCTTTCCAAATAAACCTATAGAAAGAAGGAAAAAAAACAAAAACAAAACCTCACAATTGTGTGTGTGTAATTAAGACCTGGAGCAGAGCTGAGCAACATACATGCCAGTCCAAGATGACTTTTTATTAGTTAAGCGTTTCAACATAATTATTAGTGATTAGTACTTACATGTAAGGGTCCAAATTTTCAGGAGTTATGGGTTCTATTTTTTATTTTCCCACAAGGGCTGGAGCACACAATAGCTAGTGAGGTGTGAGTTCTGAGCAGTGAGCACTGCTCCTTGAGAGACACTGCTACAGCTGTCACACATCACTGGCAGGTTCTCATCAGGGCCTACCTGGACAGCAAATCACTCAGCATCACATCAGCCTTTCATCATGGTTAAGGTTCAGCAATTGTAGCTTAAGGGGAAGTGCTAAAACCTGCACTTCGATCTCTAGTGATGGGACAAAGATGTGTTAATTGCTGTCTATCCACAATGAAAATCTTTAGTGCTATTTCTGTTTTACCCTGTGTGGAACAGACTCTAATCCCTTCATCACCAACTGCTTAGGCAGTGAGACACACCCAAATCCAAAGATGTGCCTTGGTCTTTTCCTCCCATGAGATCTCAAACCAACTCTAGGATGTGGAATCTCTCTTCCTTGAAAGTTCTCTACTATTCACACTCCTGTAATGATCCATGTACTAAGTAATAGGCACTTTCAAATTTGAATATAAATTGTTTTATATTTTTCTATCCCCTCATTTAAATCCAAGTTTCTAATGTAGCTTCAGATAAATTTGTGGGTAAGGGAAGCTCCACCTATTAAGGTCTAAGGGAAGGACTAATCTTTGTCACTGAGGTCTCCCCATGCTTTCTTCTCATCCTTGCCTTGTAGCCTTCAAATAGCCTAAAGGTGTTCCTACAATAACAGGGCCATCTAGTGGTAAAATTCACTTTAAAAACGAACTCAATTTTTTGTAAACACTTCACATAGTTTGCCCAGGGTTAGCTGTCGTCTTGTTCTGTCAAAGTTGCTTTCCTGTCTTTGAAAAAGCAAAAACGTCCAACTACTTCCAAAGTTTCAATAGCTCATTCAGCCTTTTAAACTACTCATTTCCTTATTAAAGAGAGTCCTTCAAGCTAAGTTTGCTTAATTGCTATATTGTCTTTTTTTTCACTGGTTTTCAGAAAGAAGCCTCAGTGAAGACTGAAATTTAGTGTGCAACAAAGTGCAGTTTGAGAGACAGTCTAAAGTACTAATTATACATGTTGTGGTTTTAAAATTTCCTTTAATATACATATTTGCACACACACACACATATATATAAAAATAAAAAATCATTATCATTGATAAATTTTTAAATCCATGATGCTTTCTGAAATCAAACAACGAACTGTAATAAGATTATTATCTTAATATTGTTCTTAAATTCTAAGTACCTCCATGTCACTTGGGGAAAAAAGTTATAGCCTCTTAGGCTTAATTAAAAAAAAAGTTTGGTAGAAAGGTGGCAATGATTGAAGGACATAATAATGAGAAGGATCCTCTCCTAGAGTTCCTATAGGATTGACTCTTGATCCTTTGAGGCAGTATTATTTGTTCTATGAACTAATAATTAATATTATTAGTTAATATGAACTCAAAACTCACACCTTCCCATCCACACAGCTGAAATAAAAAATGTCTTTGTTTATGATCTCATCACACTCCACTGTTTACAGCATCCCACTGTTCTGCTCCTCTCAAGCTTCTGCAGCAAGTTATGTATTATGAAACAAACAGGGTTTTATTGGACAAGTAATTAAGCATTACATATTTATATACAGAAAAGGGAATTGCCCTTTTATTTAATCACTTCTGTGACTACTTAGAAATCTCTAATGAACTCACTTGTACTGTGCCTTCATTAACAGGGTTTCATGAGCTACTCTAAACTATTTAAATGTCAGTTCAGGCCAGTTCTCTTAATGAGGAGAGGGGAAAGTCCTCTAAAAGCTCGAGCTGCAGCACTAGGGCGCTCTTACCAGAGTCACTATTGCACATTCTGCTGTCAGCTGTGCAGCGCTGAAGAGCGTCCGAACAAACCGGTAAATGTGCTTGTGGTCAGGGTCATGCTTGTAGTAGTCATCTGGGACCTCTTCCCGCTGAAAGAGAGTTCTTGGAATTACTGAAAAGCTTTCTTACTTAACACTGCCTCTAAAGAACACGTCGTTTCTTCCCCCTGAGGTGTGTACACCCATTTCCTGTCACAGAGGCAGAACAGAATTATACATTGAAAGCAGCAGCCTTGCAATATTGCAAACAAAACACAGTAGCTTTAGCTAGTATCTCTTCTGAACACTTGATTGATCTGTAGGGCCAACAGGAAAGAGCATGAACTACCATACCAGCATCACTGCAGGTGCTAACTATTGTCTATGGAACATTTTTTGGACTGAAAGAGATGTTAAAAAAAAAACAACTTCTCCCTGCAAGAAAATCAGGTATATACACCAGGGAAACAATGGCTCTTCAAAAAGCAAAATTAACAGACTTCATGAGATTCCTCTTCCAGCTGAGGAAGTGCTTAAGAACATGTGGCAATAATTCTGTCACAGGTAAAATTAGAAGGTAATTTATACTGTCTTCATAGGACTCATTCATGAGAGACTCCAGAAAGACAACAAAGCTAATGAACACGTAGATTTAGCTCTGATACAGTACTAAACTGCTTCTAAACACAGGGCAGAAGAAAAGCTCAGAAATATTCTGTAAAAGGAATCCTAAAGTTTGTGTTTGATATATGTTCTGATATTCAGGACTTTTTCTGGAGGGATCAAACTTCAAGAGCTCCCACTCTGCACACTGGTTATGCAAGACTGATACTGAATAGATTTCTGTCTACAGTCCAAGTTAGACCTACAGTATGGTCATGACAGCAGCTGAGAACAGCATACCTGCTTGACACTAAGTTAGTAGTTGTAAGGCATGCAAAGCAGCATTTTCCTGTGGTTTTGTAGTTTAAAATAGCCAGGGAGCATTGTCAAGTAAAATGCAGAGGTAAGTTAACTTTGTACTGCCCACACAGCCTTCTAATACACCACTAACCAACAGAGGCTATCTCTGCAAGGGGGACATGCAACATTAGGAATGGCATGAGCAGGAACACTGCTCATTCCTGTGCTACACATGGTACAAAAGCACATCTGGAAGCACATTTTTGCTGACTGGATGTCCTGAGGAAACCCAAAATGGTACTGTATTCCCATCTATCTGTGCCCAAAATCTGGCACGGTGTCTTTAGGACTCTGCTGTGGGAAGCTGAGGATAGGTCGGTGCTATCCCAGGTGCTTTTAAACTCTGCTCTGGGAGGCAGCTGAGCCCTGCTGCTGTGTGGTCTTGGCTTTGCCAGCTGCTTGGTCTTGCCTTAACCACAGGCTTTGCTCTTTTTGGGTTCTCTTTTTGATGTTTTTTTTTCCTTGTCTCAGAGAGACTGCAGTTCGTGGCTTTCTCATCTTGGGAAGGGTGTTTCCGGCATTTTGGGTCTCTCCTTGTGTGAGATTCAGCAGTTTGGTATTTGGCAGTTATTTACTGTTAGTTTTTGCCTGTTGCTGTTTTGTTTGTTGGTAAATTGTTATTTTTTCACTTACATCTACTTGTATTCATTCCTTAGTGGTGGAAAGGGGTTGATGGAACTTATAGAGGGAGGCAACTTACTCCAGAGTGTTCTCCTTTTAAATTGCCTTCAACCAAGGCACTGGAACTGAGAAAGGAAGCACCAAGACTGGTATTTGTGACTAAATCCATGATACCAGTAACTGGGTCCCATTAGGGTCAACAGAGCCTGGTGTGGACTCCTTGTGACTGCATCTTTAGAAGAAAAGGTGTTCAGAGATTTCTTCCTGCTAATTAACCTTTCTGAAGGAACAGTGGGTACCCAAGCAAAACACCATTGCTATAGAAACTAACAAGCTGTGTGTGCCTTTCCCTCAGAAGTGTGACAATCAGCCACAACTCTGTCTGTGTGCTGCAGTAAGATCCAAGAGACCTTTAAGTGTCCTCTAGAGGACACAATGATTTTCTTCTCATTAAACAGGAGGTAGGCTATATGAAAGGATCAAAGGATGTCAGGTTGTTAAATAAAGAAATTGTCTGATGGCGTCCATCTTACATAAATAACTTTGAATGCAAAACAAGAGTTTCAGGCATTTAGAACAGTTTTGGTCCACACTTTTTTGCTCTGAAGTGCTACAGTTCATACAAGAAACCTTGAATATAGCTCTTGTCCTGAAGTTGTTTTTTTTTTTTTTTTTTTAATTGAATAAAGAGTTGTATTTATTTACATTGTACTGTCCAATTTCTAGCAAAATGGGTCATATTTAGGGATGAAACTTTAACAAACTTAGTATTTTAACTTGTTTATTAGAATCTGTTTATTAACAAGCAAGATCCATGGAACAGGTTATACTGCATCACTCAGGTAAGTCCCAGAACAAATTCAGTTTTCTGCTAAATTAATTTCACATGAAAAACAAAGTAAATGGTTCTGTAGAACAGGTATTTGGATAGGAGTGCCCAAACTGGACGTGAAAAGCCCATGCTCCACTCTTGAGCTTCCCTGTACTATGAGCTTTTGCATCTTTAAGAGTGTCTAAAAAGCTGTACCAGGACCAGTCACATTAAAATCACATCTTCAATGCTCCTTGCTGTTACTGCAAGCAATCTAAAGCATATTTATTTTAAAATGTTGTCTTTCCAGTTTTTTAAAGGCCAAACTCACTGTTGCCTACTTTGTGTGATGCTTCATGTATTAAATTCTCCTGAATGCAGTCGTTTAAAAGGTTAGGCACATACCTACTAACCATGTCTTCCTACACTTCTAATAAAGCAGTATTAAAGAGGGGAAGAAAAGAGATGGACAAGAAACTTCAGACATGGAATACAAAAGAATTGGGCACATGCTTTATTTTTTTATTTATAGTCAAAGCATAAAAATCAAACATAGCTTGTAACATTTAGACTGGGCTTTATTCATGATCTAGCTGATCTCAAAAGTCACTGTTTGCACTTTGCATAATATATAAAGACACAATTTAAGATCAGTTTGATTGTGGCCTGATGCTAATACATTTTTATGACTTATACCTTATAAAGCAAGATGTTACTGATACATACTCAGAGGACAAAAAAATTACACTTACTGTGAGAGGATGGGATTTTTCATCAAAAATATCCAATGATCTGTCAGAATCTCTACAAAAGAAAAGTCTCTGGTTCAGCAATAGGAGTTAATTGGTACTGTTATGCTCTACTAAAAATCATTATTCATTAAAGAGGATCAAGGGACATATTTTATAGTTCAGCCTTTCCTAGAATATGGTATGGAGCTACTTTGCATTTCTGTAAAGCATTTAATGCTGAGTCCTTACAAGTATTTAAGATGCTAAATAATGAATAGCTTTCCACATTCTTGTATTATGCTTACTAAAGTTCTCCCTTAAAATGTGAAACCAGGTGAAACTCTTTAATAGCATTTACTTCAAAAAGTCTGCTGTAATTCAGAAGCATATGCTGGAACTAACTGTAATGGCAAGAGTGATTTGTACATGGACAGACATCTTCACCCATCAAAACTAATCCATACTTCTGTATTCAGAAAAAGCTAAATAAAGTCCAAAGGCTGATTTGTGGTGAGTTAAGTGTTTTCCTCCCTCTCTGTTTTATGTGCCATTGGATGGGGCATTACTGACCCTTCCACAGCTGCTCAAGAGGGGGTACAAAGAGAGAACAGATACAGCTTAAAGTGCCAGAGTTTTCACCTCCTTTAAGTTTCACCAGCTGTCACTTAAGTGACCATATTTGACTCTATGATCTTTAGAGTTTTTTCCAGTCTTAGCGATTCTATGAATTTATATCCCTGGTTCAAAAAGAAAGTAATATTTCAAGAAAGAGTTCACTTACCTGTTCTTTATATGGTAGAATATTGCTAATGTTACACTAAAAAAGAGAAAATAAAAAAAGATTTAACAAAGCACATTCCATGCACAGTATTCCACTGCAAAAGCTGTCATTCAGCAGAATGCTACAAATCCATTTTGCAGTGATGTTCTCTCACATCCCCAAGCACTACACATCTCATTTCTGATGGTTAACTGTCTGAACAGAAACTGGCCAAATCAAATCTACCAGCCAAACTACTTTTACATTCATTGTACAGATATTTGTGCAACAAAATAAGTGCTAAGTGACATTTTCAACATAAACCTTCATTTCCTGATTAGGTGATATTTAGTGAAAATGTTGACTATTCCCAACTGAAATGTAAGTTCTCCTTGGTGTTACATATACCATTGCAGAGATTCAGCTGATGTTTTAACCCTGTCTGGTTGACTAATTTAGGAACTGTCTAAAAAAACAGAATAATAAAGATGGTGTTGTGCCAACATAATCCAAGAAGTGGACGAGAACAGATCTGCTAAGTGAGGCAGTAAGTTTCATATAGTAACACTCGTTTACTGTAGCCAAATTTCAGATTCTTTACTCGTGGTGATAACAGGAACACTGCCATCACAGGAACCTATCATGAAAAGTCTGATCTGCTGTCAGCTGTACAGCACTTCAAAATGGCACAAGCATAATCTTTTAGGTTTTTGTTTTGTTTTTCTCTAGAAAAGGAGAGGTGACATGCTGCATACCTTTGTCTGAAACCAAATTTTAAAGTAACAAAGCAACTTAGACATTTCCAAACTCTACTACACTATTAAATCAGTAAAGCCTTCTGGGCCTCAATCTATTCAGCCTTCCTTTCCCTTCAGGCATGATAAAACTCTTCTCAATTCTCAGCTGGTATCATCTAAGTGCAAATAATTGACTTTCTGTACCCATAAAAATAGCTCCAGCAGCCATTTACATTGGAGAACATAGCAATCACCTACCTAAAATAACAAGTATGTGAAGAAAAGGCAGAAAGGCCAGAATTAAACCCCAAGTCAGCAGCATGCATGGTTTTCCACAACTAGAGGGCAGACTAATATCACTGGAAAGTACCAAACACAGTCCTGCAACTTCTGCAACTCCACACAAAATCCATTTCAAGTTTTCCCAGGTCAAGTTTTTTTTGATTTGGCTTTCAGTGTAAATTGAACTCCCCACCTCAACACTTTCAAACCTACAATGCTGACACACTTCTGCACTGCCTCAAGTGCATGATGAGAACGACTTGGAAATAGGACGGTCCATGAGCTCTGTGGCTGAAACAAGAGCTCCCTCCAGCAGCCCATTTCCCACACCTCTACATCCCTTCCAGGACCAACCTGTAGAAGCAGTGCTGTGCTTCTCTCATTCAAGGCTGCAGTTGGCTTTGGAACAGACAAGACCCTGAGAAAAATCCCAAACAACCCTTACAATGCCACTCAAGGCCTTGTTGATGACAAGGGTCCTTACCACTTTATTGTGCTTCTAAGGTTAGGCTGACTGACGGTGCTGTCATCTATAAATATTGTTGAGCATGAGCTGTATTTTTTCGTAAGCTGCCCAGGAGAAACCTTGGGGGGAAAAAAAAGAAAAAAGAAAAAACAAGAGAAGAACTGAAATACATTCAAGAAAAGGGATTCTGTAAGCTTTTGTTTAGCACATTGAATACTGGCTTTACTGCACAGGAGCTCCCTGTGGATGGTTGCTGCTGCAATGTAAGCTACCCTGTAGCAGTACTTTAGTAGTACTACCTCTGTAGTAGTTCCTTCTGTCTAGTTCCTTTGTGTAACACACATTTATAAACCATTCCTCATAATACACATCATGATTTTAGATAATTTACAGCAGAAATAGCTGAGCTAAAGCAGCAAGTCCTGATTTTCTCAGTTCTCTCCCATTCCATTCTTGTCAGTTTGTTTCCCAGTCTTCCCTCTCTGTAATGTACTCTATTAGATTTCCCTGTGACTCCATAATCACCATCTCCCTTCTTTTACATCCTGTACCTTTACAGTTTCTGGTTATCCAGTTTAACATTTGGGGTTTTGTCATGCTACAGTTTCAAAAAAAAGAAACCTTTTCCTGACATGGCTGCCTTCACACATGTCCTGTTTAGCATCTGGAATCTGGAAACAGAGTATGGCTATTACCCTTACTTTTACTATTATTGTTTTGAATTCACAATATGCTCTATCATCCATCCTAATCCTGTCCATTCTTACTGTAAGAAATCTTCCAATATAACCTTACCCAGGCTTCCCTGAGCATTTTCAGAGAATGTCTTGCACTAGAGATAAGACAACAGAATTGAGGGAGGAATTTTTATCAAACAATTCAAGATTCATTAGTTTTCATCAGAATTTTTTAAAATGCCTTGTCTAAAATTTGCAAGTCTTCCATATGAAAACGTTGACACCCTTCAAAACTCAACAGCTGCCTGGGAGTATCTCCCATTCCAGCTGAAGTTTGCCAGCAAAAACACTGCAATCACACTTCACCTTGGTACTGGCAGACCAAAGCTGGAATTGCAACAAAAAAAGAGGGAAAAAACGGGAAAAGAATCACCCCTAGTCCTTGCATAATCATGCAAAATAAGAGACTTGAAATACCATTATCTTACCAGTACTTTATCAGTAGACACTTCTGATATTTTTTAAGCTTTATGTTACCAACTTCCATTCTTACCTTTACTAGTCAATGATTTTTTATCCACTTATTAATGACATTGCATCTTTTTTGGTTTGGCTGTTTTTTTGGTAAGTGAAGTGTCCAAACCAAGTAATATTTGTGGAAGAAGCTCCAAGCGTATTTTCAGATTTTAAAACTAATGAAGTATCACTTGTTTATCATACTGATGATATTTGTTCATTATTCTCTTTTCATACTGGATACACTTCTTAAAGTCCTGTAGCAATACTCAATCAGCAAGTGATTCAAGACTTGCCATCTCAGCTGAGAAATTAATGCAGTTTTATTTCTGTTTAAAAAAATACAGACAGGTTGGCTTATATTTTCTTCTTTGCTGTTCTGAAATGCCTAAGACTGACAACAAAAAAATTCTTTTTTATTCTTTTGACAACAGCCATTGTATGCTTTGTGATATTGTGCCTGTTTATTGCTTAGAGATGGTCAAAGATAATTGAGTTTCACCTTTCTAGGGAGGATTTGGAACATGTGTAAGACGATATACCTAGAACTACTACACTTGTTTCCTTGAATTTGTCTTTGGCCCAATATCCCAATATTATTTGCATAGAATCCGGTTTACTTACATGATTTATATGGTTACTCTTCCTCTTCTCTCGCACTAGAAAGAAGGAAAAAGAATGTGAACTGAAAGGATTCCCAATTTACATTCAATAAAGTCTTTCTATTAACCTAGTTTTCTAAAGTATGGGCGTATTAAAAGTTTCAAATTTTACTTTAGGTGTCTGGAAAAGTAGTTTGAGGAAAAAATCTAAGGTTTTATCAAGCTAGTAAACTACATTACTCCTTCTGTCTACCCACATGCACGTTCAGGAACAACTACTTCCCATCACACTAAAGGGAAAACCATCTCATCTTTGAATAGATGCTGTGTATCATGAAAAACAGGATGATTTCAGATAGTTCAAACAGACAATGTTCAACATCCAACAGCAAGCAGAAGCAAAACCAGCACACCCTGAGCCTGCCAAAGGCACACAATGAGGAAATAATGCCCAGCATTATTGTTCTCTCTCCTCCTATTAGCAGAAGGTAAAAGGGTATTTCACTATACAGAAGATGCTGGCACAAGCTGTGCCCCTATTTATCATATAACTGCAACCATGTCATTTGATCATTTTAAACTGTGTTAGTCTTTCAAAACAGACTGCAAGGTTAAACTTCCAGCTGTGACAGCAGCAAAACAAAAGCATGTTAGGGAGAGCTGAGAGCTGCACACATGCACAAAGTATACAAATGTGACCAGGATGGACAGGCACCTCTCCAAAGTTCTAACCTCACATCATTGCCACTCTAGCAGGACACACTCTCTTACATATTTAGAAAAACTGACAACTGGAAAAGAGTATCCACATTTTTTTAGTCTTTTTGCATAAATCAAAACTCATAATCCTGATAACATTTCATCAAGAGAGAACCTATGGATATTAATTCTACTAATTCTATGGAAGGTCACCTAAAGAAGAACAAGGGAAATTAGAAAATAAATCATTCTGCTAACTTCTCCATAAAAATCAATTAGTTTAATACAAACTTCAGAGAACAGTTTAATAGTTACTACCTCACCTAGAGGAGCCTTTTGCTACATGAACACAAGTCTACACAATTCAATACACTTCATCAGAAGAAAACCAAATGACATTTGAAAGCACTCCTACCCCCAACAAGCTTGCTGAGGTAGTTTGAACATTCTCTGCAGCAAGGCTGGAAGGCTGCACAGTGAGTGCTCATGAGCTCTGTCAGTGTGTGAGCTGCACCTTCAGCACTGCTCATCTCAGAGGTGTCTGAAATGAGCAGGTCAGACCCTCTGGCTGTTTGAAGACTGACCTCAGAGGCCCCCAAAAAAGAGGTCTTTACATTTCCTTGGTATCATCTCTTCTGGAGAACCAGGCTAGTGCTTGTTCCCACTGCTCACAGATTATCTGAGCACTGCAAAATTGATACAACTGACAATTCTACCACTTGCCACAAGACTGAATAGCAGGACAGCAACTGACAGACCTGTCAAAATAATTCTTTGCTGTGGCAAGGCTGTGCCAAGTTAAAAGACACACTGCAGCTTTCCATCAACACATCCAGCCTCAAGTGTATCACTTTCTTAGCAAAACAGTGCTTCAAACAAGAACCAACTATAACAGAAACAGAAGCATTTTAAAAACATTATCTTAAACTTCTTTTTAGTTGCAACTTCAAAATGTCCTGTTGTCAGAGTTTGCTTTTATTTGTGCAATATAGAAATGCCTGCACTTTTTAACAGCCTTTTGGAATGCACAAGCTATAGTTATTGTTTCAAAACTGAGTTACTATGTAAACATAGGATCTGCAAAGAAACTGAAAATCCCAATACATCTATATAATTAAAACCGGGATTGGAGAATATTTATCCTCTGAAGCTCTTCAAACAGTTTAAAACAACATATTCAAAAACAACTGATATAAACTAATGGCTTAGGTTTATTATTTATTACAGAAAACACAATTTTTGAAACTACAGTTTTTTTACTTTAAAACAATTTTTGAAACAGTCTTTGGTTATTAAAAAATCCACCATTGCTTGAAACTTGAATTACACTAATGCAGAGAGCCTTGCTCCTTCAGACTAGGATCTGCACTCTGAAGTCTGATACTTATGCATTTTAAAGATCAAGTGATTTTAAGTGTTAAGTAAAATGGTCTGCAAACACATTTCTGTGTAAATACATAAATTACTAATCCCTGTGCTTTGAAAGAATTGAAGCACTGTTCTTGAGCTGTTACTTTTGGTTATTTTTCCAATTTTTTCCCGTTTTTTTGTTAAATTGGAAAAAAACCTTAGCTTACCATCTGTTTGTGACTTGCTCAGGAAAATTGTGCTTGCTCTGGGATGATCAGATGGATTAGATTCCAAGGCTAAATCTGAAATAGGAAGGACAAAACAAAGGAGATACGTTTAAGAGAAAATAACTGCAACAATTCCCACCCAGCCTCAAAGTGCTCAAGCACTGTGATGGAAACAAGCTCAAACCCACATAGAATGGGCTGTCTCTCTGAAACAAAACTGTACTTTTGCCAAGATGAATAAAAATTTTACATTTTTCCCTCTTAGAAACAAAAAAATGGACAGGGAGATCTCAAAAAACCCCATTTATCTTTAGAAGTCAATCTGTGCCCCTGCATGTTAGGGTAGCTGGGTGTGGGGCATGTGCTCAGTAGTGAGCAGAAAGCTACAGCTTTATCAAGAGAGTAATTTTAAAAAAACATAACAAAACAACAAAAAATTATTGCTGCTGATCTTTTTCTCTATGGCCTTTTCCTCTATGCTTTATGTACCAAATACAGCAGGAAACAATCTCTGTGGTATTACAAAAGTACTTAATAAGCAACATTTACAGTGCTGATAAATATCAAAACATGGAGCTTACACTATATTCAGTTCTTTTGGAATTTTAAATAAAATAATTTAAAGCTAAAATAGTTATTGAAGACCAAAATGACTGCTTTAATCCTTTGCCACAACAGAGCAGTGATGGCATTTAGAAGAGGATATATTACTCCCTTAGATTAAGGTGGAAGTGATCACCAAAGTTTGTTGAAACTGTGACCACCATGACAAAATTCTGAGCTGCCTTAGCTTTGACAGAAGAAACAGCTGTTCTGAGGAAGTCATGCTACAGACACAGTGACTTGATGGGAACACAGGAACAGAATAATCTAGGACTGTGATCCTCTAAGTCCTGGAAAGAGCAATTTTGCATCCATTTACAGTTGTTCTTATGCCATGCCAGCCATACAAGCACACACACTCTGCATGAGCACTTGGACTTTTAAGTGCTCAAAGTGGGACACCAACACAGCTGCCACACCCCTAAAAAGCAAAGCCATCTAAGAATCACCATCAACTTCTAATTAAAAAAAAAACATAATCTTTTATGCACCCAACCAACAGAACATTGCCAAACCCCAAACTGCCTGGGTGCTGAAGTTTGAACTGTGTCAATGTTTGTGCTACTGCACCTCTCCACAACACAGCCACAGCTCCTGTGCATCAGCAAGGGAACATAACTGCAAAAGCACATGAGTCCCCAAAACTTGTCATCCCAGATTCCCACTGGTGCACACGCTGCTCTCCAGACCTCCACGCTTTCCAGGTACTGGGCTGTACCACACCGCTGACCTTAGCCCAGCCATGTGGCTCTGGCCCTGGTCCAGGATGTGGACCACTGTAATTCTGAACCTCTACTGCTGAAGCAGTGAAGCCAACATCTGTTTAGGAACACCAAGACTGTTCAAAAGGGAATTCCCTCCTCTCAAAATGATGAGAGTCAGCCATGAAAGCAGACCATCTTGTGAAGATTTAAAAAGCTAATTTACAAAACCAGTATTTCTATTGTTGCCTTACTGTGCTCATTCACAGCACACAGTGAACAGATATCTGAATTTATTAATGCCGTTAAAATGTAAGAAGTCCTGGCTTAGATGCCCTAGAGTAGAATTTGCCTCATAGCTCATATCTCAAGTACTTCTGATACACAGTTGATTCTCTGAAAAAATAAAAAAATCCAGCATGCAATAGCATGCCATACTGCCACATTTTAAGTACCATTTGTAACATCTTAACAAAATAGTATAACTTGTTTAAAACTTGTCCACAAGTCTGACAAGTTTTTAACACTAATTTAACAAACAGTATACAGCTTCTAATGCTAGCACTGCATTAACAAACAAACCAAACACAAACAGTGATTCAGAAATGGAAGTATTTTGCCAGCCCACAATAACTGAAGTATCATCAACAGGCTGAACAAGACTGCAATATGCAGACTTAAAATACAGATTATTATCAGTAAGTCATGATGCAAACAGAGCTAACTACTCAGAACTTATTTATTTACAGTTCAGTAGCAACTTTTGGCATAAGTGGGTAAGTCAGGTTAGAAATGATCTCAGAGGTCTCCAGTTCAACCTCCTGCTGAAAGCAGAAACAGCTTTTGATAGAACATGAGGATGCTCAAGGCTTTATAGAGCTGAGCCTTGAAAACTTCCAATGAGGGTCCATAAAGTATAGATCACCTTTCCCATTAGGGGGACTGATTCCTACAGGGCTAAGAGACTCACTATGGAATGGTAGGGAAGAGCTTGTAGGACTGTAAAAATCTTGGGCCACATTTAGGGTAAGGCAGCAAGGAAAACTGGGGAGGAAAAAGCACAGGAAAACTGAAGCAAAAGGGCTATATAAGTCAGTAACTCTTAACACGGGACTTCATGTTTCTCCTTGCTGAATTTCATAGGGTTGCTGTTGGCCCAGTGCTGTCCAGGTCCCTCTGAATAAGCAGCCTTTAGCACATTGGCTGTCATCTGCAATTTGGGCATCCTCCAGGTCACTGATAAATGTTAAACACGACAGATGCTTTTTTCCCCAGGGAAGAGACAGTACAGGATAACACCCATCCTCCCTCACCTCATTTAAAAAATACACTACTATCTTAACATGGTTTTGATTTACTTTGAAACCGTGTGACTTGTTAATGCTCACTTCTTACACTGTTTCTGCCTCTTCTTGTGCTCTGCCAGTCCCTATATCCACGCCTATTACATGTTAGGACAAAAAGCACAAGAATGAATATAACCAACTTTCATCCCAGACAAGAAGTGTCTGCAATGTCTTCCTGTCATTCCAGGCAAGAAGATCCACAACACTGCAGCATGCACTGAGTGACACAAAATTGACAAGGCCACATAGACCACATATTTAAGGAGAGGAACAGAACTGAAAGGATCATAGGCTTCACTGGCTCCAGTTCCATGATGGCTCTGCAGACATAAGGAACTTTCTGCTGAATGAACCAAGGCATCAGCATCCAAGGCACATTAAATCCACAACACAGATTATACAACCAGAGTTAAGGTACCAATGAAGTCCCAAGACACATCACCACCAGAAATGATCAAGACCAAGCTGGGTGAAGAGTAACTGGGTTTGTTATATCCAGGATAACATGGCACGAACAGACACAGTGTACATGCCTTGGTCTAGCAAGAGACTGCAAAGAAAGATGCATTTAACAGACCACCTCCCTGTAGCTTTCCCCTAATAAGCTGCCAGAGAATTTTAACCATCCTGCCTGTGCCATTTTCCTTGGATAATGCTTTTTTCTAAGCAAATGGAAAAAGTAGTCATGTAATTTGCTCATCCTAAACTGCCAGTGTGGCTCATGAAATACAAAAAAGTAACAACAATACAGCTGATGAAGGAAACATAAGGCAAGATACAGATAAGGGCATGAACAGAGGTAAAATGTAATGGGAAACAGCAAAAGAAAAGGCAGAGGAAGAGATAAATCTGTCTGCAAACAATTCAACTCACAACCAAGCATAACTCCTAATACTTCATTCTGGTAGCACTTTTGAGTCCAAAGCCAAGATACTAGCCCTGTAGGTAAGGGTAAATCTCGAGTAGGAGCTGCATCAGAAGTTGTATGACAGAAAACTCAAGCTTCACAGAAAGCTAACAGAAAAAGAAAGCATGTATGACACAGGATAAATAGGAATAATAGGAATTAAAACATGCAGAAACAAGAATGAGAGAAATTAGAGGAACCTCAAGATGATAGAAAAAGGAAGAAAACAGCTCCAGAACATTTTTGTTCTAGAGGCTATTAACTCAGTAGAAATCAAAACACTTTCTATCAGACCCTGACACTTAGTGATAAAGAGGTGAGAAGGAAGATTCCCACCAGAATATGGGTCTATGAGAACAGGACAATAATGCTGCTACAAGGGCCCTTCACCTGTCTGAGAACAGTGTGTTTAGAACAACCTTCCCCCTTAGTTCTCTGCATCTCTCAGAGCTATTTACTCATGTGTACTACCAAGCTTGTCAACCCTGCCTCCAAGTGGAGCAGAGAAAAGCCTGAACTTGCTTCCCTCTGCCACTGTTCCCCCTTTGAGGAATCCCTTGCTTGCACTTCAGACAATTTCAGCCACCTCTGCTGCTGCTGTGCACACACAGCCCCCCACAGGGCAGATCACATCAATGTTAAAAGCAATCCTCTGCCTTAGCTCAAGATCTTACATCCTTTCCACAACACAAAATCCACATGAAGACTTTGCTTTTATCCATGCCATGTAAGAATGTGTGTAGGTTTTTAGGAATTTATAATGCTAGCTACTTATCTATGGTTTACACACCTCCACGGGTGACTTCTCATTATTACAAACACATTTCACACATTGCATCGTGCTACATGTATTATCCCATGAATAAAGCTGACAGTCAAAGATGTCACTAAGTAGCAGCCCTTTGATAATTTCACTACTTCAGAACAATAAACTATTGCATTTCCTTTAACAGTTTTAGCCCCATCCTTTGTTTTATTAGACAGCAGTAACATTCTGATACAGCACATATTTAAAGCATTACATGACACATTAATCGCTTTGCTGTAAATTGCATTTTGTCACTTGCTCAATGACTTACTGGCTGTGACTAATGCTTGAGTTTCCCTTATATTTCATTACATTATGCTGTAAAGATGCAAGCCATTGAACACTCCAAATAAAGATGTAAAAAATATAACAAATTAGATGAGTAAATCTGCCAATCCATTTCAGAAAGTCTGTCATTCCTAACAATTTAATATAAAATTCTTTCTCCTTCAAATTATGTTATTCTAATTCTTTTCCCAAAAAGTTTTTCCAAAACTTTTTAGTTAAGTTACAACTCTGGTTTCTAAATTTAACCTGCTTTGTTTATTCGTCCCAGCCACTCCAAATGCACCATAGAGCCCAGCACGCAGAGGTTGCTTTCCATTTGCAACTCTCATTGTTGAAAGATTGTTAAAAGATTATTTCTAAATGCTGTGAATTTACACAATAGAGGCAGAAGGATGTTTTAAAGTTATTTAAAAGCTGTCAGT